TTTGTTTGCGTGTGCTCACCTACCGGCTTTTCTTCCCTCTGCCTTCATTATTTTACCCCAAAATAAAGGGGGTCCCGGGCCCCCCGTTCTCTCCCCTAGATCCGCCGCGCCACTGATACATGCACATGAGAGAGAAGACCGACAGCTGATAGATACAACCATTCGAGTCATTTTTGTCCCGTTAATTCAAGGAGTCGCAAACGCGCTAATAAAATCTTGCGTCAGTTAAGGCATGGTATTGACAGATCGAGTATACAAATGATTGCATCCTGTTTCCGCCTGTCGGAGTAGAATTTCAAGCTGAGCTTTAGGGCTCAAAAGCTCGGCTGATTGAGAATACATCAATTACTGCACAATCGCGAATATTTTACAGCTAATAAATTGAATTGAGTTCTTGTTCGAGCTACTTCCGCCTCTTTAAAGCGTACCCTTGGTTTGTTCCTTTCTCAAATGCTTTTCATTTTTGACAGTATTTTTTGCAGTATTATCCGACAAACGTGCAAATTTGTTCGGTGTCCTACTAAAACGCAGAGAAGTCTCACCTTTTCTTGTCTCAATCGAAGTGAACTTCCCCTCTTGTTTTTAACGGGTTCCCAGTGAAAAGCTGAAACGACAGTGTATTAGCGTTAGAAAGCAATTTGGTAAAGATGGAGTGTTAGCCATAGCTAAATTCGAGCCACTTTTATATTAACAGCGAGGGGAGGTGTGATTAACAAAGCTGACGTTCTGAAGAGGTAAATTCCACCCCGAGATCTTGTCTAGCGCTACTACGAAATTTATAATTTCGGACGGCATTGACTCAACAAACAAGTGGTCCAAATAAAACGAAGAAATAAAACGAAGAAATAACTCGTCGGCTCTCGCCTTTGTTGAAGTGATACACTAGTAACGAGTATTCTCTTCTTGTGTAGAAGAACTTCCACAGGGTCTGGCTGGGATGACAATGTTAAATGTTTGAGGAAAAAAAAGTGGTAAGGATGCAATGCCGCAGGAGAATAGCTGCTCTCGGTGGTTTAAAAACGGGGGAGGGGGTATTCGATGAAGTTCTAGATGGAAAGATTCCCGTCATTTTATCAACCATAGAAGAGGTTTCTTTTTCGTACACTTTCCACACAAAATAACACCTTTTAAACCTACCATTGGATATGGGACCGACAAAATATGTAACCCTTTTGAGAATCTAAAGCCTGCAAAAGGTCCGTCCATCG